TAGAAACAACAGCAAGGAAATGAGAGGAACCAAGCCCACACTATCTCTGAGGTATGCCTATACTGTTTTGTAATTTTTAAAAAATCATTTTAGTGCTGCCCAATGTGGCTTGTGCCAGGTGAATAGTTCCACCTCAGGACTAGGATAAGCTGTTGATATGCAGCTTTTAATACACAGATGCCTATGACTATGTTGTTTGTTTTTTTTTTAAAGTCCTGTAATCAGTTAATTATAGAAAAAAAAGTCTTCCCAGGTTCACTTGAATAATGTTAAACTCTAAGGTGTCCTAGGAGCTGAGTGATTCAATTTTCTGGTCAGGATTTAACTAAGAATGCAACATCAAGAGACCACATGGCTGCTAAATTGCCAGGATTTTTCAACTGGTTTACAGGTTTGTTTCCCAAATGTATAATCATTAATTATTTAGAAGGGTATTTTAGCCCATAGCCATTTTGCATTTTCATTTTAAAATAGAAACACACTCATAGATACAAAGAACAAACTAATAGTTACCAAAGGATAAGCGGATGGGAGGATGGGTGAAAAAGGTAAAGGGGAATACCAACTTTCAGTTATAAAATAAGTCATGAAAATATAATGTACAGCATATGAAAAATAGTCAATAGTATCATAATGACTTTGTATGGTGACAGATGCTTGGTTGCTAGACTTATTGTGGTTATAATATAGCAAGTTATATAAATGTCAGATCATTATGTGGTACACCTGAAACTAATATAATTTTATATGTCCATTAAACTTAATAAAAATAAATGTAAAAAAATCCTAGCACTTATTGGGAAAACAAATTTATGTGATAATAAAATCACTTAGAATTTTTTTATTTATTAATTCTACATATATTAAATAGTTCCTTGATTTTTAAGTAGATAATAAGGCAATGAGAAAGAAAAGATAAATAAGATATTGTTCCTAGCCTAACAGACATCTTTATTTCTGTTTGAATCTTTCTTTTATAGTCAGAAATTTAAGAGAAACCCACATGCTTCATAAAATATTATTCTCAACCATTTTCTAGATCTATATATTTTCTTAGTTATTCTACAATTCTATGTCCAAGATCCAGAAAAATGTCCATAATCTGCATACTTTTAAAAAACACAGTCTCAGTAGAATCAGAGTATTGTTCTATCAATGTTTAGATTTTGACAAGTATCCGTTACCATTCATCTTACTGTAAAAGGTACACCGGAAAATACACAATTATATCTGAATCATAATAAGCTCAGGGAGATAGATTAGAAAAATAATGTAGACTCTTGGTGGCCAAGAAGATATTATTTTGAGCTGCTTAGATGGCATTTTAGTTTTTGTGCCTAGGACATATTATTTGCCCCTCTATTATAACATTGTATTTATTCTGACTGCTATTTACAGTTTGCTTACACAATGCCCAACATTGTATTTTGGGCACTGTGTAGAATACAAAGGTCTAAAACAGCCCTGGCCGATTTGCTAAGTGGTTAGAGCATTGGCCTATGACCAATAAGTCACCGGTTTGATTCTGGTTAAGGGCATGTACCTCGGTTGTGCTCCATCCCTGGCCCTGGCTGGGTCATGTGGGAGGCAACCTGTTTATTTGGCTTTATCGATGTTTCTCTTTGTTTCTCTTTCTCCCTCCCTCTCACTCTGATGATAAATAGAAAAGTATCTTCAGGTGAGGAATAAACAACAACAACAAAAACACAAAGGTCTAAAACACAAATCTTGACTGGAAGGTGTTTACAGGAACGTTATCTATCTGGAAAACAGAAAGGCAATTGATGTTTTGTTACCAGTACTCAATGATATGCCTAAGACTCATCCGAAGAACTATTCGAGATTATTTACAGACTTAGTACTGGGAACAGAAAGTACACTCACCAAAGAGAGATGATAACAGAGCTAATAACACTGAGGCTTAAAAATCCTGTTGTAAGCCCTGGCCAGTTTGGCTCAGCGGTTAAGCGTCGGCCTGCAGACCAGAGAGTACCGGGTTCAGTTCCCGCTAGGGGCACATACCACAAAAAATAAAAAAAAAGAATCCTGTTGTAAGAGAAAGACAAGTATCATATGATCTCACTTATTTGTGGAATATCATGAACATAACAGTCTGAGGAATGGGGTAGTCCCAGAGACGTGGAAATGGGGTACAGACTGACAATCCCTAGAAGAGGGTGTAGTGGGGGAGAGATAAACCACAGAACATGTATGCATGAACAATGGACATGGACAACAAACTGGGGACAGGGCAGGGAGGGAGGGGGAGGGGGAGGGGGAGGAGGGAATCAGTGGGGGGAAAAGGAGAAACATCTGTAACAAAAATTAATTGATTAATTTTAAAAAAGAATTCTGGCCCTGGCCGGTTTGGCTCAGCGGTTAGAGCGTCGGCCTGTGGTACAGAGAGACCCGGGTTCGGTTCCCGCTAAGGGCATGTACCTTGGTTGCAGTTTGTCCCCGGCCCTGGTTGGTCGTGTGGGTGGCAGCCACTCAATGTGTCCCTTCACATCGATGTTTCTCTCTCTCTCTCTCTTCCTCTCTCTCCCTCCCGCTCTATCTGAACAAAAAATGGAAAAGTGTCCTCGGGTGAGGATAAAAAAAAAAAAAAAGAATTCTGTTGTAGCCCTGGCCAGCCAGTTTGCTCAGTGGTTAGAGCCTTGGACCAATGAGTTGTGGGTTTAATTGCGGTCAAGGGCATGTACCTTGGTTGCGGTTCATCCCTGGCCCTGGTCAGGGTCATGTGGAAGGCAACCAGTCATGTGTCTCTCTCACATCGATGTTTCTCTCTCTCCTTCCCTCCTACTCTATCTGCAGATAAATAGAAAAATATACTCGGATGAGGATTAAAAACAAACAAACAAACAAAAAAAAAAACTCCTGTTGCAGAAGTTGCAAAATTGGAGATGGGAGTAACTTGTTTGTAACTGGTATAAAAAGCAACTATATATCTATCAGTGTGTATTTATTAATTTTTTTAGGACTAGAAAAAAAAGCCTACATTATCAATCAGGGTTCTCTAGAGAAATAGAAACAATAGGATGTGTGTGCAGTGTAGAGAGAGAAGAGAAAGAGAGATTGTTTTATTATAAAGAACTGAATCACATAATTCTGGAGGCTGACAAGTCCCAAGATCTTCTGTCAGCAAGTTGGAGACCTAGAAGAGGTGATGGTATAGTTCCATTCCAAATGCCAGCAGGCTTGAGACCCAGGAAGAGCCAATATTGCAATTTGAGTCTGAAATTAGGTGGGGGGGGGGAGGTGATGTCCCAGATTGAAGGCAGTCAGGCAGAAGGAATTCCCTCTTCTTTTTTTATTATTATTTTTTCTTTATTGATAGTAGAGAGAGAGGAAAGAAGAGGGAGAGAGAGAGAGAAACATTGATGAGAGAGAACATCAACTGGCTGCCTCGTGCATGCCCCCACTGGGGATCGGGCCCACAATCTGGGCTTGTGCCCTAACTGGAAATCGAACCAGTGACCTCTTGGTGCTTGGGTTGATGCTCAACCACTGAGCCACACTGGTCAGGCAACGAAGTCTCTTTTCTTTAGAGAAGGGTCAACCTTCCCTTTATTCAGGCCTGACACTAGGGAGGACTATCTACTTTACTCAGACTATTTACTGAAATGTTAAACTCATCGAAAATCACTCTCACAGAAACATCCAAAATAATGTTTGACAAAATATATGGGCACCCTGTAGCCCAGTCATATTGGTTGACACCTTAATTTTCTTTTTCTTTTATTAAAATATGTTTTTATTGATTTTTAGAGAGAGAGGAAGGGAGAGAGAGATAGAAACATCATGTGAGAGAGAAACATCCATCAACTGCCTCCTGCATGCCCCCTACTGGGGATCAAGCCCAAATCTGGGGCATGTGCCCTGACCTGGAATGGAACCAGGACCTCCCAGTCCATGGGATGATGCTCAATGCACTGAGCCACACTGGCCAGGTGGCACATTAATTTTCCATTAAACCTGCAAAACAAAAGGGGGTATAAAAGTATAGCTAAATTTATAGAAACCTCAGGTAAAACACCTAGCGAAACTTAGAGAAAGATATTCATTTCATTCTCTATTTCCAAGTTTTTTAAATGCATTGCAAGTAGAAACTTTGGAAATCTGTCCAGGCTCTCCATATTATGTATGAAGGAACGGTGATGCAAAGAAGTAAGTGACTTGTCCAAGATCATACATCTCATTAATCCTAAAGCCAGAATTAAAACCAAAACATCACAGTTTCAACAAAAAATAGGACCTTTTGGAACAACAACAACAAAAAAGGCCTTTAACACTGCCTGTGAAAGTAAAGAGCATGATAAGGAATTGTTCATGCAGGCACATAACGAGAATGGACTATTCCTTTTCAAGCTTTGGTCACTGAGAGAAGACATCTCTTCTAAGCTAACAAGATTAGAAAACACTTCCTTATATTTCTAAAACTGTTCAGGTTTTCAAGCAAATATTTATATAAGGACATTCACTTTTTCAGATGTTTTGCAAAAATAACCACAAACCTGCATGAGGGGAATGATGGCGAGATCCTTTCCCTTAATAAACCACCTTCAAGATTTCTGTAAGATCCCCAAAATAGAACATAATGAATTCGCTGTTACAAATTCTCCCAGGACCAAGTGGCACAGTTTGAGAAGGGAGCTACTGGGAAAAGAGTCTGGCAGGGGTGGAGTGAAGAAAGGGGGTCCAGAAAGAAGTGAGTTTAAACACTTTGCTGTTGCTCCCATGCCTGGGGTTAAGCCTTGGCTACTGTACTTGGGAAAGGAAGAAGCTGGGTTGGGTATTTGCAAGTCCAGGAGGGAAGACAGGGAGCATGGACAGCTAGCAGCTGGAGCGTGTTGTGGGAGCTGCTTTCCTGTGCTAAGCTGATTTACTTGTTTAAGGTCTGACCTCATCATCCTGTCAGTATGGGTTCCCACCTACACTGCTAGCTGCAGCTTTGCAGCCAGAAAGCTAGAAGTATTCACTGTGTAGCACAGGCAGCCGGCAGCGGGGGAGGGAGGGAAACAAGAAAGCCTGCTCTGGGCACTTGTGCTTTTGTTAGTTCAACAGAAGAGGCCGAGAAACAAGAGATAACAAAGGCTCCGTTTCCTTTCTGTGAGAGAAGGCTTTTGTCTTTCCTCCTGCAACAATGTCAATGTCTGGCAAGAAAGAGTTTGATGTGAAACAGATCCTACGGCTCCGCTGGAGATGGTTTAGTCATCCTCAAGGTTCTCCCAGCACTGGAAACTGCCTTCAGCAGGAAGGATATGAGCATAGAGGGACCCCGGTTCAGGGCAGGTTGAAGAACCACTCTCGGGACAGAAACGGACTGAAGAAAAGCAACAGTCCTGTCCACCACAACCTATTGCCACCAGTGCCACGACCGGCCCCTGCCCATCAAAGAGCGTTTCAGAATTGGCACCCACACAACCTGATAGAACATCTTCGAGCAAATGAAGATACTCCTAAAGCAGATCCAGAGGAGAATTTGTTCAAAAGAGCTTGTGAGAAACATTCACAAGATTTGGAGATGATGGTTGATGACAGTGCAGGAGATTCTTCAGCGAGGTAGGAGTTTTTCTTCGCGTAACTGCAAGTCTTAGCCTAGGTTAACTTAGCCTCTGAAACTCCTAGTTAGTGTTTAAATAAAAGTGCTCTAATAATCTGAATTTGTATGTAGTCAATCGGGGTCTCCAAGAAACCCCCATCCTCTGAGCCTGTAAAGAAAACAGGAAGAACGCGTTTTCATAATTAATGGGGAATATGTTTTAGGGTTGTGATTTGACTTCTGTTTCATTCTGATTCCATTAAGAATTATGTTTCAGTTCTAAGAGCTGATATAGACTCATATTTTGAAGATATACTCTGTAGCTTAGATGTTCAAATAGTTGTATCTGCAAAAGTGTGATGAACCACATAGAACTTTTGTTGCTTTGTGAGTTAAGCTAACTCTGACAAAATTAAAAGTCTGACTGCTCAGCACATTCTTATCGGTTCCATAATACATAGTTGCTATATTGATGATTTATAAACATTATCTATGTGAGAACACAGAACAGCTTCCTCTGCTTTGGAGATTTATCTCAGGTTGGATTAGTTTCACAGCTAGTTTGTAATCAGAAAAACATTTTACATAAAGCAGGTAATAAATTGCTGCTCACAGCAGGGGATCTTAAAGTAAGAAATAGAATATGTCAGCTATTTCAGGACATTAGTGGAACGAGAAATGCTTTTAAAAAGCATAATTTTAGGATAGCTTACAAAATGTTTGACTTTGTCTTTATTGTTTGAGTGGGAGAACATTATGTTCCCTCCTCTAATATTGTCTGATATAACTTAACCTAGTAGACTTTTATTTTTAAAATTTATAACTGTAAGATTTTATTTCCCCAGCATGTCAATCAATGATCTTGGCAACTTAATAAAATTGTAAAGGATCTTTGGAAAAAATAATTATTTTGAGCATGCTTTGAAATATATAACAGTTTGGCATGAAGCTGTTTATTTATTTGGAAATCTGAATAGTTGATAACTGTGTCTCTACATAAGTATAGAGAGGAGAAGGACTGGCATATTTGCTTCTAGATATAAAATTTTCCCAATATATTTGTCTGACAGTTCCTTTCTTCCATAAATTCAAAAGATAATACCAATAGAAAAAGCAATTGTTGCAACCTTCCGGCAAAAGACAAATCAACTGTGCAAAATGATGCCTTTATAGGAACTCGGTCTTCCTGTTGAAATGTAAACATGCAAAAGTCTTTGTAAAATGGCAAAGTGTGTATGAATGAATTTTCCTAAATATTTTTGTGATTTCTCCCCCAAAAGCTATAAAATTGTTGGGATTGCAGGTTGTGTTTAGTAAAACTAATTGGACTTTCAAAGTAATATAAAATCCACACTTTTAGACTTAACAGGTCTTCAAATTATCTCTCCTCACCATGAACATCAGTTTTAAAAACTGCTGAATTTGGAGGTTAATATTAAACGCATTTTATTCTCATGTACAGAATTTTAAATGATCCATTCTGACCTCCTAACAAAATTCTCTGAGGATCCCTGATTTCATTTTCCAGCATGAGGATATATTTATAATAAACTAGTTGCTAAAATTAAATGCTGGATAAAATGTCATATATAAAGTGTGACCAAATAACATTTTAAGAAAAATGTTTCTCTTTTTATTTTATGTCTGACAGTTTGCATGTTATACAGAAATGTTCTGTTAATTACCCCATGGTTAAAGTGGATAGTTAATATTTCTTAAAATAAACAGGAAGTGGTTTTACAGACGTGCCCAGGATATTTTAAGCAGAAGAGAAAGGGTGAATTGAGGATCTTATTAATTGAAATATGATGGCTTATTAATTTGTCCTTAGCCATTCTGAATTATGTCTTAGTTAAGGAGAGTTTGAGAAGGGGCTTTCTTATGTCCAGCTTTCCTAACGCCTGTTTTCTTCAATAAGATGACCACACTGGTACAAAATGGCTCTCACATTCAGGGCAAAGTGGTGATATTTAAGTCATCCTGCTTTCTACAAACACTGCACGGAATAAATAGAGAATGAACTAAATTACTAACATGCATATGTCTAAATAACCTGCAGTTATTCCTACGTCAGATATTAAAGCCAAGTTATTACAGTTCAATTAATATACTAGTTTTGGCATTTAAAATCCAAACACATTCGTATGTATTTGAATTATAAGTATGTCCTTTAAGAACATCTCTGTATCATGATCCCACACTGTGAGCGTGCAGATATCAGTATGCCTGTCATCAGAGACCTAGTCTCAATTGTCATTTTCTTTGTGTCTTTTCATTTATTAGCTCTGCATTTTTACTGCCCCTTAACTACCTTGCTCAGTGTCCTTTCTGTTCTTTATTTCATCCCTAGCATTCCAAAAGCCAGAAGACATATTTTAACGGTGTATTGTGATCATGCTTTTTATGCAACAGAGTATGTAACTGTGAAATTATATATAATGTATTTTTTCAACTGCTCATAAAGAAATGTCAAAATGTTAAATGGCGTTTGTTAAGACAGATGCAGTTACCTCCTTGTTACGTTGGAGGAGATTATAAAAAATGCCCATTACCCATGGATGGGTCCAGGCAACATGCTCCAGTACAAAGTTGGAGATTCTTGGGGCTGCTTAGTTTCAAGAAATTGACAGGAATGGGGATCATACCCTCATCCTGTTTGTTGGGGCTTTAGATTTTTGCATAACCTACCAATTGTCCCATACATAATTTTGTGTATCTTTGCCAGTATTACACTGTCAGATAAGACTAAATTCCCTCTCCACTTAACTTCTTTCCTATTTCCATTGAGGTTTGCAGAGAAAAAAAAAAAAAGAGTAGTTCTTCTTGTATATTGTAATATCCTAAAGAAGGAGGGATTGGATGAATAACACTTAGAATTTAACAATCTATTCCACAAATATTGAGCACTGACTGTGTGTCAAGCACACTTCTAGGTGTTGGGGACAAAATGGGATCAAAACAGAGAATATGTTTTCATGCAGTATTCATTCTAATGGGGAGAAAGAGGCATTAAAAATCAACCAAAATCACCCAGCTGGAGGCTTAATTGGTTGGACGGCCATCTGGTATACCAAAAAGGTTGTAGGTTCTATTCCTGGTCAGGGCACATACCTAGGTTTTGGGTTCGATCATCAGTTGGGGCTCATTAAGGGGAGGCAACTGATTGATGTTTCTGTCACACTGATGTTTCTCTCTCTCTCCCCCTTCCTGTCTAAAAATCTATGAACATATCCTCGGGTGAGGATTAAGAAAAAGAAAAATTTAAAAAACCCACAACATATTATAGTTAAGTGGGTATAAGTAGTAATATGAAGGAAAGAAACCCAGAAGGAAGAGAGTTGAGGAGGGATACTCCTTCAGATAAGGAAGGATTTTCTGATGAGATAACATTTGAGCACAGATCTACATGAAGGGGAAAGCCATGAGGATGGCTGACTCAAGAATTCGAAGCAGGAAAGAAGTTAATACTGGTGGGCCACAAACGAGCCCTTGACCACCAACCATCCCTTTGTTTTCAAATCAATGATGTATGCCCCTCCACAGTCCACTGATTAATGTCCCAAACATCCTTAACTGGTGAACTCAAAAACATGCCTAAAATCAGTGTGTTCATCATACTGATTTTAAGGTCACATGCAGGTTCCGTGGCCACAGAGGTGACTGTCCAGCCATTCAGTAACCATGATACCATTTTGTCCTCTGTGGGAAACAGACAGATGATGGTGCATTTCTTTCTTGACAAAACTATTTAGACAGGGCCAAATGTGTTGTGCTTCCTCCTCACAAATCTATCTATGATATGGAATATGTTTAAGACATATTTATGCATAAGGAAAATACTACATCTTCAACTGTGAAACTTATTGTAAACACTTTTTCTCCCAGAGCAGGAAGTAAGCTGTGTGGGTATTTACAGGGAGAGCTTTCCAGAAAAACAGAACAGCAATTTCAAGAGTCCTGAGATGGGAGTGTGTTTGATATTTTCAAATACAAAGAGGCCAGTGCAGCTGGACTCAAGTCCTCAGTCAGGACAGTGGTAGGAGATAATTTTAGAAAGGTATCAATAGTAACACAACATTAAAAAGAATATGTTTCTGCCCGGCTGGTGTGGCTCACTGATTGAGTATTGACCCATGCATTAGGAGGTCAGGGCACGTGCCCAGGTTGTGGGCTTGATCCCCAGTGAGGGGCATGCAGGAGGCGGCCAATCAGTGTTCTCTCTCATCGATGTTTCTGTCTCTCTCTCTCAAATCAATAAAGAAAAAATATTTAAGAAATAATAATAATGTTTCCTTTGTAGACACATATTATGTGCTTACAAAATACCTTACATATATTTTTCTCATATTTTCAAAATAGAATATCTGAATATGAATATGGTGTATACATCTACAGGTGATGTTTCTTTGATTATTATTTTGTCAGATATCTGTTAGTGTTGTTTATCTTTTTACAGGGCAAAAATAAGGTGCTTTTCTAACATTTATTGGTAGACCAGCTTTACTTAATTTTACACTGCATTATTCAGTAGACACTATTAGTTTAAAGGAAAGAATAAGGAAGAATCTACAATTATAGTATCGTTTATAGCAGTTTAAGATGACATTCCTTTGCCTGTTGCTTAAAATACACCATACAAAAATACACAGGTAATTCAACTGCCTTACTAAATTTAGAACATTTTAACAAATAATTTAATCTTAATGCAATGGTTCTTAACCTTTCTTTTTTTTTCTATTTCATGTGTTTTCTTTTTAATTTATTGGGGTGACATTGGTTAATAAAATCATATAGGTTTCAGGTGTACAATTCTATAATACATCATTGGTATATTGTATTGTGTGTTCACTACCCTAAGTCAAGTTTCCTTCTGTCCCCATTTACCCTCTATTTACCCTATTCTACCTCCCCCAACCCCCTTCACTCTGGTAAAATCAGTATGCTGTTGTCTGTGTCCATGAATTTTGTTTTTCTGGGGTTTGTTTTGCTTAATCCTTTCACCTATTCACCTAGTACCCCA